TTTATTTGAGCAAAAAATGTATTTAAAATATTTTAGATTACACAAAAAGTATAGATCTTATTTTAAATTATATAAATCTTAATTATTATTATTAAAAAACAATAATAAATTGATAGTTAGCTAGTAGCTTCCCTTCTTGTTAATATAAATATTAAAAATATTAAATATAATCTGTTGCGGATATTGATGCCTCCATCGAGGCTGAAACTCATAAAAAACAATACATTACGCCGAGAGTCCAATTAATAAGCGGATATGGCCGATAATTGTGCGGAGGATAATGGGAGTTTTTAATGAAAATCAGCAAGATATCTTTAATAAACATTAATCGGGCACACGGATAATTTAACAGCAGCAAAAAATATCAATTTAAACAGAGAGAGAGAGAGAGAGAAAAAGTGACATGCTCCAGGGATTAAGGTGTTGCGACAAGTGATTCCAAGGATTCCCCACTTGACATCGGATTTGGCAGGAAAACATTCCGATTTCGATTCCGATTTCGATTCCCCAGTCGAAACAATGCAAATTGCAGAGCTCCCTGATGCGATTTATGTCCGTTCGAGTGTGCGTACACAGTTTCCAATCGGATTATCCTGGCCTTGTGCAGTGACAGCAACACCTCTGCCATAATTGAGGCTCCTCGCAGGACGACTCTTGGTCGAGACTGGAGACTGGTCTCTCTTCCGGGGACATGCACACTGCAGGCGCTCGCTCTCGGTGTCCCCCAGGCATATCAATCACTTTGAGCCTTTGTGCCGGAATTGTGCTGACCAAATTCTATGAAATTGAATTCAAACCGCCTTGCACTGGATACTGGATACCCTGTAATTGGGGTGAGATTAGGGTAAGCTGGGTTAAGAGGGGGTTTTTTGAGTTCTCTTTGGGAATAAAATGTAATTTATTAATTTGAATCTTAAGAAGGTCTTTAAATTGTATTTAAATTATTTAAATAAAGCTTGCATATTCTTGAATATATTATTTATAATTTAAATTTAATTAAAATGATTTTTAAAATATTTTTTTATAATTTTTTTGTTTTAAAAATTGTGTTTAAAAACTCCTTTATTTGAATTACCTTCAATTTTTCCCCAAAACAACTTATAGACTTCAGTTAAAAGTTAATTTAATAAATAAATATTAAATTCATAATAAATTTAAATATTTAAATAATTTATTTACAAACCCTGTAATATTTTAAGCCTTTACTTGCCAGGATTCCCCTCTTCGATATTCTTTAGCAAATGCTCAGGCACTTTCCTTTTGTGTTCACATTTTTTTGAGTCTTGATTCTTGGTGAGTTTTGTGGCTCTTTCATCTTTCCGTTCCGTTTGTCCTGCCAAGTCCTGGGCAGGGCGACTTCCTGACTGAAATACTGATGCGAGGCGACTCTCCGTAGCCGTAACCGTATCTGGCCTGCCCCAGGCAGCAGTGCAGAAATGCAATTATAATGCCAGCAGTAAATGCAACTGCAACACGCAGAATTCAACAGAAACTGCAACTTTGCATATCAAAGCCAAGCCTGTGTGCGTGTGTGTGGGAGTCCTTTTCCCGGGGCCAAAATCTGTGGGAACGCCAAGTTGACAGGCGAACGTGTTTGGGAGTTTTTTAAGCCGTCTTTGTATTCACATTCGTTTCAGAAACTTCAGTTGCAAAGACAAAAAAAAAACAACGAAAGGCTTTAGTTTCCAATTTGATTAATACTTACGACAATTTTGGCTCAAGTGGGGACGGTATTGAATGTTTTAAGGAAGGCCACACTTAAAAAAAAGTCTAAAAAATTTTTAAAAAATATTTACAAGAGGGTAAAATAAATTTTAAAAAATAATATACCAAATTTTAAGAGGGTAAAACAGGGTTTATATTAAAAAAAATTCTAAAAAAATTTAAAAGAGGGTAAAATTAATTAAAAAAAAAAGTATAAACAAAATTTTAAGAGGTTAAAAAAATGTACAAAATTTAAACAAAATTTTAAGAGGTGTTTATCATCTATAATTTCCTTAGTTTTTTTTTTATTTCAAGGTTTTTATAGAAATTGAAAAGCTAAAGTTTAGTTTAAAAGTTCACCTCACCCAAGTTGTTCCACTTTTTTGTCAGTGCCCTTCAAAGCCCACTTGAAACAGGACTTATTGATTCCAGGACTCGCCAGATTGCACTCATAAAACGGGAATCTAATCGAGTGGCTACTCCACCTCCTTCCTTCCCAAGACTCAAGACTTGTCCTGGCAACGGCAGACGGAATGTTTATAAATATGGATACAGGTCGGAAATGTGACAAGGAAGTCAATTTCTCCTTTTGTTTAATCCCACAAAGGGCAGGGCAGGGCAGAGAGCCTAAAGTGGAATTTTCCAGCAGACAAGAGTCGTTGAACCGAGGCAGCTGCTCTTCTTCTCCTCTAATTGTTATCCTTTGGCCGAAAATAACTGAAAACCAGGCATGGAGAGGGAGGGGGTCAACAAAGGATCAATCTCAGGCACAGAAATCGAATCAGGGTTCAATAGAAAAATAACCGAGCGGGGAAATTAAAAAGCAGCCTCTGGACGAGTAAGAAACTGATAAGGAAATTGCATTTCCACGGCAAAAAGCTTTTCTTACATGTACCGCCCGGGCGTCGCTACCATAAAAGTTGATGACTTTTGCCATTTTTGCGCATTTTTTGGCGCTGGCAAAAAAGTCAATGACCAAAATGCCACCGAAAGCATAAAAAAGCAACCGCATAGCTTAAATCATAAAACAAATTTTCTAGATGTTCGGTGAGGGTATAGCAGAGTTTCTTGGCTTTTTGTCAGGTTTTGGCAAGGATTTGGAAATTTTATGAAATTTATTTATGAAGATAAAGCTTATTTTTTTGTGTGTATATATTTTTTAAGGGGTTTAATTTTACATGTTTAAAAGATTAATTTAAATGGCATATAAAACTTTTGCTACAAAAATAATTTTAAGAGTTACTTTTAACTATGATTTTAATATATAAATTAATTTCAAGATTCCTCTGAACTTTACCTATTTTTCCCTTAAAAATCTTAAATTTTTAAAATAAAAATCCTAGTGAGAAATGTATCTCTCACTAATTAAAAAATAAATAATTTTAAGAGTCACCTTCAACTAACATATTAATATATAAATAAATTCCAATTAATACCCTATTAACCCCTTAAAAAAAACCCATAAAGAGCATTTGATATTCACCTTCCTTCTCATGTGGAAGCCCGGGATGCTGGGCTCTGGTGATTGAGTAAGTTCTCCAAAGACGAAGATGCGGTTAAATCTGGATGCCCAAGTGCATGTGGGTTGTGACTGGGACTAGGACCTGGTATTGGGACTGAGACTGGAACTGGGACTGGGAGTGGGTGTGTTGGGGGACTCCCAGCAAAGTACAAGTGTTGTGGCCAAGTGTCAAACACCTTGCTGGGATGAAACTTTCGCGAACAGCTGAGAGCAGTGCCTCCGAAAACAAAGCAACGGCGCTAAGAGATTAAAAAACGCTTAAACAAAAGCAACAATGCCGGCCAGAGACAAAAGCAACAGCAAGAAGGAATAATAAAAGATGGGGTAACGACTATGCAATATCCTGGATAAAAGGTATAGTGGTAATATGTTTAAAATTAAGGAAATCAAATAAAATGATAAGGAAAAATATGAAAAAAGAAAAATATAAAATTAAAAAATATAAAAAAGGAAAAATATAAAATTAAAAAATATAACAACTAAGAAATATAAAAATAAAAAATATGTATGCTTTATTTTAGTTCCCACGCTCAGATTTTGTAAAATGCGCTCAACTTATCTGCCAGAAATAGACTCTTTAACCTTGTGTGTTTGCACTCAATTGCATTGCGAGAGAAGTATTTAAAGAGTGATCTAAAAAGAAACTCACTCAGAAGCCGAGCTGAGGGCTGAGCTGATAATTTCAGAGCAAATTAGCGCGCTCTCATAATATCAGCTCTCTTATAAGCTCAGCTCTCTGCTTCACTTTCCGCCGCTAGTGCAAGCTCGGCCTTTGAGTGGTTCTTCTTTCCTTCCCCCTCTTGCTATAAGGGAGAGAGAGAGAGCGATACAAACGATATTACAAGTCATCTCAAGAGAGCGTGTTCTTCCACCTACAACGAGAGAAAGCAGCTTCATAGATAAGGCTCTCTCTTATAAGCTCAGCTCTCTGCTCCGCTTTCAGCCGCTAGTGTACGCTCGGCCTTTGAGTGGTTCTTCCCTCCCGCTCCCCTCTTGCTATAAGGGAGAGAGAGAGACCGATGCAAACGATATTACATGTCATCTCAAGAGAGCGTGTTCTTACACCTACAACGAGAGAAAGCAGCTTCAACGATAAGGCTCACCCACGATCTCAAGAGAGCCTAGTCTGATATTACCTTTTAAGCGAGGGTGAGAGGCCCGATTAGAGCAGTTCGTGTGATAACGTTGTCCATTGAGCACGTGCCAAATGTCGACCCGCATGAATCGCGAACCGCGCCAGTTGCGTTACACGGTATCAAACACGGGACAAGTCAAGCAGGGGCCATGTAAACAACAAACGCCGCGGCGGCTAAGGAAAAGCGCAGACGCGCGGATAAAAAGTGAAAAGTGTGTGTGTGCAAAGGCTGGAGAATGCCGGATAAAGTGGCAATAAAGCCGTACGGATAGCGGGCGGCCGGATAACGGCGCCAGATGGGAACACTCCCGGAGTCCGGAATCCGGAGCCACCCGAGGCCGCGGCCGAGCGCCGAAACGAAGGGCCGCCACGGCCACTGAAACTGCCGAAATATCCGCCAACATTCAGAGGCAGAGGTAACTTTTTCGAATAAAACCAAAGAAATTTGTTTGTTTTGATTCAGTCGTTGCGGGTTTTTTAAGGCGAACACACAGCCCTGGAAGAGAGAGAAGCCGAAAATCGAGAGTTCAAATTCGTGAAACCAAATTCCGGCAAAGCTGAAAGACGTTTTTCTTTTTTTTGAAAATGAAAAATAAATATTTCAAGAAAAAAATACTGCAAAAATAAATAAAGAATAACACGAGCCAAACACCCAAATGTGCTAAAAAAAACTTTTCTGAACTAAAAACAATACACAAAAAATTCGAAAAAAATAAAACCAAACATTTTTTTCAACATTTTTGTTTCTGTGCTGTGTGACCGATAATTAAAAAAAAAAACAAATTGCCGGAACGCCAAGAATTTATTCAGGTAAATAAAGTCTTTGTTTTACGCATTTTTAGCTTAAAAAAATATTTAAGAAAATGAAAAGAAAAGCAGGGGTAGGAAAACTTGGGAAATTGTTGCCGGAATCCAAACTGACAGCCAAACAATGGCAAATATTTATCGCTGGGCCCTCGGCGGCATAAACAAAAGCAAGTTTCCCCGAAAATTCCTTATGTGAAAATGAAATCAAACACAATGTTTTCCCTTTTTATATTTTCTGGCCGGCAAATAAATCTCCAGCCATTTATCACGAGTGTCCTGCAGGTCCTGCAAATCAGATGGAATTAATGCCATAGATTATGATAAAATCTCTGCACACAATAGTTTTAGTTTTAGCGCTTTTTCTACAACTTTTTGGCCCAACAAATTGATTTTCAAATTGTTTGTCTTAAAATATTGAAATATTTTTAGCAGTTTCATAGTTTCAGTGAGTTTTATCCATCATTCCAGGGTCAAAGTTTTTGCAAAAACAGCTTAAAGTTGTATAAAATGGGGAAAAAAAAGAAACTATAAAAGTGAAAAACACAAAAATTGATATGAAAAAAGCATAAAGACTAGAAAACTTTGACTTGGAAACTTGTCAGGCAGTAAACTTGCTCTCTGCCTTGACTTTACTTAGAGTTTTGAGTCTTGAGTCCTTCGGCAACAGGAAGTCTTCTCATAAGACAAGAAAAGACTCGGCAAAGATAAGAAGCAGACAGGACACAGTGAAGGCACAGAAAATATTTTATAAAATAAAATAAACAAACAAGGTCTCAATATTTCAAATAAAAAACGAAATTGCAAAGTCAAATATTTATGTTTTTTTCAAGTGGAAAAAGAAGTGTTTAAGAAAAACTATTAAACTATTAAATTTATAAAGAAACTTTCAATTTAAAATGTGTTTTTAATTATTCAATATATATTTTTTAATGATTCTTTATCCAAATATTTAAATAAATAAAAAAATTCTTAATTTAAATAATTTAATAAATTAGTTTAAATCCAAGTGCTGCTAGTGCCCCCAACATTTATTGCTTATGACACTCTCAAGACTTCTTTGTTGCTTTGGCAACTGTCGAAATTGCTTGGCTAGCCTGACCAGCGCTTTTCCGAATTTTCCTCAGCCATTTTCCCCACTTTTCCGTCGGACAACTGGCAATTATCAGAGACGCAGCAGACTCCTCGCTGGAGTCAGAAACCTATTAAAATTATATTTAATGCACTTAGCCGGGGAAATGCGATTAGTCAGGGGGTTCAGGAAAAGCTAGGGGGTGGAGGGGAAACTTGGAAAATTGGCAAATTGCTCTGCACTGACAATGAATTCATTTGACTTGCCAGCTAAATTCTGCTGGCACAGCTTTCGATTGCCATTACCAATTCGCACTTTGGTGCATCCACTCATTGGTTTAAATGAAAAGAGCTGGCTTTTAGTTGAAAAATAAAATAAATTAAATATTAATAAATTAAACTTAATTAAGCATCAGAGAACGTTTTTGGGAAATTTGTATTTATAAATTAAATTAATTAATGCCTATAAACTGCAATGAAAATAATAAAATATGTGAAATTATGGATTTAAATTAGTAAACATTTTTTGTTTGGTTTCATAACTAGTGTTTTTGATTGCTTAAAAATTTGTAAAAAACCCTAAATTTAAAATTAAATTTTAAACGAGACATTATATTAGAGTTTAAAGGTAACTTTCATTAAATTTATTAAATTAAATTAAATTAAATTTATTTAAGAAAAACACTCTTTGAATATGAACATATTTAAATATATTAAAAACAGATTTTTTCTAGAAATTTCAAAGATTTATTTAAGAATTAATAAAAATTATTTTAATGGAAATATGTTATGAAAAAAATTGGCCTACTTTAGTTTAGATATTTTTTAAAATATTAGTATTATTTATAGTTTTTGTCTTTAAAAAATATCTAAAATAAAGTTGGCCAATTTTATTTATTAAAATAATTTTTCTTTATTATTTAATAAATTATGAATATTTTAAAGAATATATGAATTAATTATAATAAATTTGTATAATATTTAATATTATAATATAAATTTAATAAATTTAAAAATTATTTCTAATGTTTTTTAAAGCATAAATAATGTTTAAAGTTTAATTTAAATAATTTATAAATAAAAATCGACTCACTTACCAAAAGAAATTACAAAAAATCGCTTATTAGAAATTTTTAAAAATACATCATCACTTTAAATATTTTACAAAAGAATTTTTTGTAATAACATAACCAATTTAGTAATAACATAAGTAAATACAAACAATTTTACATTGAATTTAAATTTAAATCAATTTTTTTAATCACAAAAATTGCACTCCAACTGCCTCTGAACACACAACCAATAATATTCACAATTTGAAACCCTAAAGCCCTGGGCTTAAAATTAATTTAAAAAAATATTTTAATGGCGTATTTGTCCAAGGCAAATGCTGTCATCGGGCAGGGTCCCTGTCCCTGTCCCTGTCTCCTTTGTTAATTATATATTTAAGAAGCATGAGCATTTTTTCCACATAATTAAGCCGACATAAAATCGATTTCCACTGATGCTGCAACCGAAAAGCGGGGCTTATCAGCCGCTGACACACCGCATACGGTGTGGCCTCTCTCTGGATAAATATATAAATATAAAAATATATATGTATATATACTGTATATGACATGGAAAACCTTTTGAGTCTTGACCTGCGGACAAAACAAAGTCCAAGTGCGGTTTGTTACAAAGGAAACAACACAAAAAAACACAAAAAGGAGAGAACAAATCGGGCCAAAGTGCAATGTCGGGAAACCCTTTTTCTGGCCCGGACACCGGACACCGGCTTCATGCGAAAATTATTGAAAGAAAAACATTAAGAGACCTCTGTGCGGTCGGTCAGTTGGCTTATTTGCCATTTGCCGTTGGCCACTTTCTTTTTTTTCTGGATTTTTTTTTGTATGGTATTTTTTTTTGCTACCAAAATTTGTACCCAGTCGAGCGGCAAACAAACAAAGCTCCCTGTGATCCCTTGGCTTTTGCCTGGCTTTTCCCGCCGACTTCTCCCTCCACTTAATGGCACCTGTGGCTCCCTGCTAATCATGATTTTAATGACTCCTTGCTCCGGTTGTTTATGAATGCCGGTGAAAGGTTTATCAAGCATCGCTGACCCTGAAAAAATAACAAAAAAAAAAAAAAAATTACAAGAAAAAAAAAGGTTACAATTAATTTTTTAAATGCTTTACAGCCTAAAGTTTGTCTTTGCCTTGGCCTTTCCTTGGTTTTCCTTGACTTTTCACAGATTGAGTGTTTTGGGAAGAGTTTTTTGTAGGGGAGGATTTTCAGGGGGATTTCCCTTAAGAGTTATTTCACTATTATCTGGAAGTTAATCTCTCTCTGTGAGGTTTTTTTTAAAAGCCTTGAGGAATTTATTAGTGCTTAAGTAATTAGTTTAAATGAGTTTTGCGATTTAACAAGAATATAAATTAGTTGATTTAATATATGGCTTATTTTTTAAACATTTAACCAAGTTGCAAAAAGAAGTCCTTGAAGTTTGATTTAAACTTTTAAGTAAACAAGATTCCTGTTTGCACAACAGATGGACAGCTGAAAGTATTTAAAAATTTCCCTTTTTTATGTCAACTACTACTAATTTATTCAATTTAAAAAAGACAAACCCACAACAAAAACTCAATCAAAATCAAGTTTGTGATCTCATTACCAATCAATGTCCCTGGTAACACTAGACCCTTTGGCCGGGGCCTGGCCTTTGGGTAATATAATCGCCCAAATTTAATTCCTCAACAAACACCGAACCGAAAGGCAATATGTAATTTCAATAATTTATTTTGCCATGGGTATAGTTTCCTTTCTTCTTTTTTTTTTTTTCGGGGGTAGTATGCCTGTGCCTGTGCCTGTGCCATGGTATTTTTATGGGCAGGAAGAAGAGAGCCTGTGGGCCCAGTCAATATTGGCACAACACGTTGTTTGCCTACACACAACCACACACACAGGCACACGCAGGACTATGCAAACGAGGCCTGGCCAAAGATGAAATATGTTAAACCGACAACATATTGAATTTGGATTTAGTGTCGCCAAAAAACTGAGCAGAGCGCGTGCTGAAATTCTGGGTAAACACACAACAACTACAAGGATGCTGTCATAGAAAGGCTCTAGGTTCTGGGATTCTGGATTCCAGAAACCTTCCAGGTTCATTGACATCTTCAAGTTGTGAGGGTGAGTAGATGTGCTTCTTAAAAAAATAAATACCAGGAAATAAGGCAAGCTAATTATAACGCTTAGGAGCCCATGAAAGGCTCTAGGAGTACTTTTTTGATAGATTTCTATAGGAATTTAAATTATAAAACAATTTATTTTGTTAATATTCATTTAATTTCTTAGTAAATCATTAAATATTTGAAACATTTTCTTCTTGAAAGCTTGAAAACCTTAAACATATTATCCTTAAAGATATCCCAGTGTAACAATTATTGCACGGCTCACCAAAGGCCAATGAAAAGAAAACATCTCAGCCCAAGTGAAAAACTGGCTCGCTTTCACCGCATTTCCTTTTGATGAAACAATGCCCAGGAAAGCGCGGCAAAAGGAGAAGGGATTCCGGTACAGGAAGCCCCGAGATCCCAGGGTCCTTTGGGTCCAAAGCATCCTGCATCCTGTGCCGTGTGGTTACGCTGCTGGCTTCGGTGGCAACAGGTTGGAACTCTGATGGAAAAGCATTGCGGTTTTTTCCTATAAGGAAAACAAAAGAAAATTCAGGCAAAAAAAAAGAAGTATAAACTGAGTTGAGAATTTAACATAACAAAAGGTTTATTTCAAGTTAAAAGCTATTTTTATATTAAAAAAGAATTGTAAATATTTTTAAAAAGCTTTTAAATTTCTCAAATATTTTTAAAAAGCTTTTAAATATCTCAAAAAATGAAATTTAAATGAATTTCTTTTCAATTTCATGCAATTTCTTGCTAATTTTCTTATTTGTATACAATTTCAGGCCAATTTAAATCACCAAAAGCCAACAAAAACCTACAAAAACCAAGTCTTAAGGTAAGTAAACACAGATTTACATATGAATTTTACAAAAGTAAATTAAATTTGGTATTCATTAGAGCATTTCAATGTTCATCTTTGAGATTTGCTGCCAGTTACACAGGTTTGCCAATTATAAAACTGATGCCTGTCAGGAAATTGAATTTGAATTAATTTAATGAGTGCAGACATGTGGAAAATGCAATGACATAGCTGAGCAAATGCACTCGTAAGTAACTCCTAGGCTCACAATAATTATTAAAAGATTTAACATTGAACATTGAAACATTGAATATACATTTTCTTCATTTATGGACTCCCTGGCGTATACTTGATTTATGGTTATAAACATGGGGGTGGGGGCGTTGTTTATATGCACTTTGGGGGGACTATATTTCATATTTTGTTGGAGGCATCTAATTAGCACATCATTAGGAGCTGAAATTTTCACATTTAAAAGGTACTTTTAGGCGAATCTTTTGCATCTTTTGGCACTGAATAACCGCATTACGCATACGCACGGTGTGCCCATGACGAGGAGAAATTAATTGAATCAGCAATCGAATTAATCAATGTGCACAGAAAAGATAAAACAAGAAGCGAACAGAGAAGAGAAATTAATGGGGAATTTTTTCGTGTGTTCACCGCAAAAAATCAGAAAAATCCGAAAAAAAGGTGTTTGTGGCTTGGCCAGTGTAGTGCCAATCCATCACTTTTATTTAATCATTTACTTAATCAAATTACTGATTATGCGTGGTCGGGCAAAGGCCACGCACAACGGTATAATAAAGTGATTTTTGCTAGGTTTTCACTAGGGTTTTTTTCCAACATTTTCCAAACAAAAATTTGTTTATTTTTAGTTTATTTTTCTTTTAAGTTTAGTAATAATGATAATGCTAATTCAGGTTTAATTCACATAACCCTACACACAGACTCTTGAATATATATAAATATGGCCTTGGGTTACAAACGATTTGTAACTTTCAAGGATATTTTGTAAGCTGACCCTTTTCTTTGGCAGCTTCCTTTATTTTCTTGTTATTTTTTTGAACCCATTTCCAGTTTGATTATGATGTTTTGCAGCTTGTAATCGTTTATATAAAATAATCATAATAATAATAATAAAAAGGGACACATGTGTGTAAAAGCGAACGCAATCAATCGCATTTCCCCGATTACTTTGTTGTTGCTGCCAATAAATTTCTGTCAGCGTAAAATGCGTATTAATTGCCATAGTTTATGGTTACCCATAACCCATGTCGCATTTAACTCCCTCTGAATTCCACAATTTTGACATGAATGCAGTTGGCTGCTAACCTAACCCTTCCAAGTGTTATTACTCCCCTCCATGTTTTGATGGCGAACGTCAACAGTCTGTGATTTATTGATGTTTTGTCTGATTTATGCGGTGGCTATATGCCCAGTCCCCCCCGCTCGGTCGTGGTGTTTACCCATAAATTTCATAGCGCTGCTGCTTCTTCTCTCCCGGGGAGTTTATCAGCCCTGTACTAAGGTCCTGTTGACACTGAGTAGTCCTTGTTCGGAGGCGACATTAATTGAATGTGCCAGGGGATTTGTGGCAAGTCGAGCTATTTAGACATTACTGTCCACAGGGAGCACTACTTTCGAGCTAGAGATGGGTTTTGTTTATCGAAAATTAACTGAATATATCAAAATTAATTTATTTTGAGCTGGGAAAGTGATTTTAAATATGTTTACAATGCTATAAAGACACTATAAGCATAGTTATTCTAAATTTAAAGGGTTCATATATTTCCGATGAGCATTATTTTTAATAATATTGGTCTTTGTCTATCGAATTTATCGAAAATAAACCCCATTTATCAAACTTAATTCATTTTGAGTTGTTAAACTGCTAGGAAAGTGAATTTAACCAGGTTTACAATACCATAAAAATACTTTAAGCATAGTTATTATACACATACAGGGGTTTATTTTTAATAAATTTACATATTGCCTATCGAATTAATCGATTTAATTCATTTAATGTTATTAAACCGCCCGAGAACTTAATTAAAATCTTCAAATGCATATTTTCTAGTTACCAAAACATCCTTGGCCCACAGGCAAAAACCATTATTTATGCAATGTTTTTTGTTGTCGATATTTTCGATAACACTTGCTTTTTCCAATAAACATACCTCCCTAACCCCCAGATGGGGGATAAAAAGGCAGCTCTAAAGCTGTTAACATAAACAATATCCAGTGGAGATTGCTGACTGGGCCACAAAAACCGCCAGCTACCAAACTACCAACTGATGGCGTCTCGCTAGGTTTTCCTCTGGCACACATGGCGTATGTGTAACATTTTGGCTTGGCTTGCTTGTTTTTTACCCCCCTTTTTTTTTGATTCAGTAACTCGAATTGGGGATGCCCTTTGCCCAGTTTTAGTTTTATTTTTATATACAGAGATGCCTTGAAGGCTTGTTGGGAGTTTCTAAATTTCTACATTCCAGTTTTTTTGGGGTTTCATTTTCCCTTAAAGTATATTTTCCCTGCCACATATGCCCCCACTTGGCTTCCTCTATCCTTTTGGCAGCTGGCTCGTAATGAATGCTCATTAAAAACTGTCACGCCGCGGGGAAAAAAAGGACTAAATGGGAGGCAAGGCGTCAAAATGAGAACACCTCGGTGACCTTGGGTGTGGGCGTGGGTGTGGTGTGTCCCAGCAACATTGATTTTCCCCAGCAGCAGCAGCATCAGCATCAGGCAGGTATTAATGCTGGACCGAATCTGTTGCGTTCCCTTGCACCAATTTTGAATTTCCTTGAATAAAAGTTGCAGCCGCTTTATCAGACTTATTAATTTGGCCATAAAGCTGGTTGCTGGTTGCTGGTTGTAACTAAAATGCACGCATAAAAACTTTGAGCGGCCAAATAGACGGATGGGCAGTAGTAGTAACTTTGCCCTTTTGCTAAAACTTTGAGGCGAGTCTGGACCGAGTTTGATTAAGACTTAGTTGCTCTACTACATCATCATCATCATCATGATGATGATGCCCCCAGTTATGGCATGAAGCTGACGGAGATGTAGCCATTAAATTGTAAGATTCAGCAAGGCTTTCCGAAGGAGTTGCAGCTGAGTAAGAAGTTGGGAAGCCACCACCAAGTGGAGTTTGCCAAAGTTTAAGATACTTTGATATTGATATATTCAGGTGTTTTGGTTAGGATTTTCTAGGAATTTTAGGGAGGACACACCAGTCTTTCCCAGAACAGCGACTTAATTTCCCTTGATATTTATTTTCTTGTTTTTCTTGATTTCTTTTTTTACGCGGAATGTCATTAAAAAAAGCAACCGCAAGGCATTACGATAGTGAAATGCTGATGCGCTCGTATAGATACAGATACAGATTCCTATATAGATATAGGAACGGGCCAATAACCATTACCCGGCAAGCATAAACTGAGCATAAAGTGTAACTTAAGTAAACACAGTACAAAATACAGTACAAAATACAGAAAAAATACATACAGAAGCAGCAACCGCAACCGCCACTCCAGACAATGTATTAATTTCGGGGTAGAAGCTGGGGGAAAAGTGGCAAGTTTTATGAGGGGAAAGCCTCAATTATTTGCTTGAGGTTTTTGGGGTGGGGGAAAAACCAAGGAAACTGCCACGAAAAACAGGCAACTTCAACTGGCGGCACACACACACCCTCTGACAATTATGTGCGCCAATTAGTTGCCACCAAAAAAAAAAGAAAAAAGAAAAAAATTGTTTTTTATATGTGTTTGTACACTTGCCACAATTATTTGGCTCACACACAGCACAGGGCAAAATAATAAAAGCTTTGGGGAAATAAATGAAGTATAAGAAAGTCTTCAGAAATAGATTTATATTTAGTTTTCATACAAAATAAAATTTTTAAAATTATTTTTTGGGTGAAAAGATGCTGTTTGTATCTAATGTTCTTTCTGAAAATGTAGTTTTTTAGTTTATATAATTTTGAAAAATATTTAAATAAATTAAATAAAGATTTTTAAGTATTTAAAAGCTGTAGAATCCTATTTATCATAAAAAATTAACTGATAAAAATTATTTTTTGAAGTTTTATAAGCTTTTCGTATCTGTAAAATAACATTTTTCTTTAAAAACTTACAGTTTTTATATTTAAAATTATTTATTAAAACATTTAAATAAATTTAATCTTAATTCTTAAATATTTAAAAGCTGCAGAAACCTATTTCTGCTGTCACAGAATATTGAAATTTATCTTTACTCTTCATAGAAAAATTATGTTTTCGGTGGATAGATGCTTTTTGTATGTAGTGTACTTTCTAACCATATATTTTTTATATTTTATATAATTTTTAAAAATATTTAAATAAGTTTTTAAAGCTGTAGAACCCTATTTCTGATGTCACAAAGTAAAGCGATAAGAAAAACATTAAATTGAGGAAAATTGAGGCTGGAAATTGATGGGGGGCCCGTTTGTTGTTCTCCATTTTCTCCTCTCTTTCCTCCCCCTTCTCTCTTACCCCTCTCCCCCCCTGTTGGCTGGATGTTACGACCTCTTCATTGGCATATGCAGGCATTATAAAAAGTTGATGTGCGGGTTTTATGAAAGGCAAAACTGAATTTGCATATGAGCTTGGCAAACACTGGGCTAAAATGGAAGCCGTATGATATAACGCCGCCATTGTCACAGAATGTTCCCCCCCACTATATATAGATATATACACATGGTACATATATATATATATGTAACCCAGTGTAATATGGCTGGGCTGTGATTTGGCCTTGTTAACGCTGCTGCCAGCTCCAATTTGGCCCTCGGTTCGCTGTTTATTATTGTTGCCAGCAATGTGTAATTGGGCAAGAGGAGTGCTAGTACCTGTGACAGGTGGCGGAAGCTGATGCCCAAAAAAATGTCAGGTGTAATTGGAGCTGCAGAGCTGCGCTCGAGACGTAAATACGTCTCCAGTGTCCACTCTGAAGACGTAAATAACTTATTTAGTTTATTTTGTGTGTACGAACAATTAAATCTTAATTAAATA